ACGGACCGTACACGACTCGGCGCCTGCTATCGCATGAAAGTCCCCCTCCGGTCCCTCTTGGGTCCGCTCCATGGTCTTCCCTACGGGTCGAGCACCGTGAAAATTGTGAACCACTCGAGCCAAGGTTTGTAGTCCCGTGGTTTAGCAGTACTGTGAACGGACATATTTCATGAGGTTTCTTAGGAATTTCGAATACGGGCGGGTCCCCAACAGTCGCTCGGATTGTTTGTTCGAGGTTGTCTCCTCTAGCGCTTTGGCTTAGAAGCCTAACCACAAGGCAGCGGTGGCAAGCAAACCTATTTGATGGCGGTTTACGGTCGACATGTCACAATGCCATCATTGGGTTTTGCGGCTTTTTATAAGGCTTTCAGCGCGCCAGACCTCAGCCCACCGCACCCTGGTAGCAATGTCGCTGCTGGTTCTTGGACCTTCGGTATTCGGTCTACGTCGTTGGCAAAGGGAATGAGTTGAGCTGTCCAAATCTGCTGCCGCGGATCGTCACGCGTGGGGAAGCACAGTTCGTGACATCATCGAGGCCGGCCAGATCAGGCATGATCGCAGCCGTATCAAGTAAGTTTAACAGTAAACACATCGATTTTCCACTGGCCTATACAGGAATAAGACTAGAGACAGTGCAGCCACTCATGAGGGAGGGGAATAGTCAAGCTGATGATAAACACTGGGAGGGATGATAATAAAAAGGACGTATCCCGAAGCTTTTCTCGCAACAAATATACACGTCGGCTTGGAATTCCCGGCGATTGCTCATGCAACTTCGGTCAGTACGTAAATTAAACCAATGCTCAGCTCCAATACTGAATTCACACCGCACAGTCGAGTGTTTCAGTCTTCGGCATGGCTGCTTATTTGAGTAATTTTAGTTATTAGTGTAGGTTAGTGCTGATAATTCTGTCTATGGGAATGGGTAAATTCACGATCTCATCCTCTGCCTCTCGTTCATTCCTGTGAATTGTATTGCTCAGTGCGAAAATTACTCTCTATCTTGACACAGTCAACCTTATTGTCTAACTCTGTTGTCGGCCTTTCTAAATCTTCCACACTCCTCGTGTGGCTCAAGCTTCAGCATCCATTAGAAGCAAAAAAAACTATTAAAAGACGTCTGGCATACGAAGTGCTTCAATTGGGCCATTTTAAGGTAAGAAACATTAACTAGTAATTAACTGGTTTCCTTTGTTTCCAGAGTAAGTCACTAATCAGGCCTAATCGCAGGCCCTCCATGTTTATTCCTACAGTACATCAGCGTTACTGGCATGCGGATCTTCTGTCGTCAGTTGAACTTAGCCTGATTCGGCCGAATCTGGTCGTACGACGGGTAGGTAAGGGAAGTAGGAGGAGGTGAAGGTGGAACCAATACGACTTCCAAACATCTCCAAACCCATCAGCTCCAGATTCCAGCGGGTGTAGGTGAACATTGCCTTCGGAATGGGAACCCACTTGCCTGCCCACGAGTAGGCCTGCTTGGTCAGAGCATGCGTAAAGTGATCGAGTGCGGAGGCCTCCATTCGTGCCAATTCCTCCTCTAACTCTGCTATCGAACGTTGGCTGAGCGTCCGCTGTCCCATTAAACGCTGCGCAGAGACCGGAAGTGTGCTGCGAGCAGTGGACTTGGCTTCACGTGAGTCGCTCTGGTGTCGGTTCTTGCGGAGTCTCCGATGTCGTCTTCGCGGTGGAAGGCCCACAAAGCGGCCGCTCCAGTGACTGTAGTTGCTTCCCACCGTATCCTCCGTCACCAGAACGGTTTTCTCACCATCCATTATGTCCGCTGGCTTATGAGACGGTTCCTGCATCATCTCGGGATTGTTTGCCTCCCCCGAAATTGCAACAGGGTGATCCTTTTGCCCATGTCCGGTCTCAGTACTGTCCAGTTTGTTGCGTTGATCATCAAAGCGGCCGCTGTGTTCCTGCGGTCCTATTTCAGAACCCCCTGGAAAGAGGTGTGTTTTAGGAGCTTCGCTGTGTCTAAGACGACCTTTCGCAGCGTAACTGCGGGCTGTCGGTGTTAGGGGCTTGCTCAGTAGCAAGGCCGCCTGCTTCGTCTCTTTTGGGGTTTGGAGCCCCTGCTGACTCGG